CCACATCATATCTAAAAATAAACTTAAATGTAAAAGCTGAAACTACAAAACTCTTAGATAAAATATAAAGAAAATCTGTGATCTTGGCATAGGTAAAATTCATAAAAAGCAAAAGCAAAAAAAGAAAAAATTAAGACACAGTACCTTACCATTATAATAAATTAATTCCTTCAAAGAGACTGCTCAGGAAAAAAGACCAAGTCAGAGATTAGCTAAAAATATTTTCAAAATATATACACATGTACTTCACAAATGACTTATACTAACAATGCATAAATAACTCTAGGATAAAAAGATAAACATTCCAGTTACAGAATGGACAAAAGTTTGAGCAAACATTTCCCAGAAAACAGTATATAAAATTAAAATAAATGCATGAATTAATGCCCAGCATCAGTAGAAAAATTCAAATTAAAATAACTATGAAATGGTCCTACAATCCCACTGGAATGATTAAAGTTAAAAGAAAGCTGGTACCAAGTGTAGGTGATATAATATAATATATAATAAATAAAACTTGTGAATTTCTGTGAATCCAGAATAGTAAATGCACTCTGAAAGACATATTTTGCCTACTTATTCATTAATTGGTACTGGGGATTGATCCCATGGCCTTCATACTGAGATACATACCCAGGTTTTCATGTTTTTTATTTTTTAATTTAGGTAGCATCTAACTAAGACACTAAATTGCTCAGGCTGTCCTCAACTTGTACCCCTCCTACAGCTTCCCAAGGTGCAGGGATTATAGACATCAAACACACCATTACTGCCTATTTATTATGATAGTCAACATATGCTGTACTTACCATATATACCAGCAATACTTCTTCCAGGTATTTATGCAGAAAAAATATAAGTCTTAGCTGCTCAGAAAAGCTTTATTCATGGTAAGCCAAACTATAAAGACTTCAATGTCTATTAGCAAGTAAATGGAGAGACAATTTGGTATATCAGATAATGGAATATTACTCATCAACAAATTACTGCTCAGAAACAAATTACATATTCACTACATGGATGAATATCAAAAACATTATACTAAGCTAGAGAAGTCAGCTCTAAAACACTGAAGGGTGTATTATTCCACTTATATGAAATTCTACAGCAAGTAAACTCTAAATGCAGAAAACTGATTAATATTTATAAAAGGCTAGGTCCGCTGGGAGGAGATTAAGTGTAAAAAGGTGGAGGGAGCATTTTGGACTGTTGGAAAGGTTTCATATTATGATTAAGAGTTGTGTGTCTATATACATTGAAGGATAGGTTACACACTTGAAATTGGAAAACTGCGTATAAACACTGCATCAATACATCTGAGAGATAAACATAGCAGTAGAGATCCAAGGACCACACCTGAAATAATATCCACAAGTCAAAGTGCCTAAGAGATGATAGGCCACTGAAAGAAAAAAGTGTGTCAACAATACAGGAATCAAAGGAGAAAAGCCACGCAAGCCAAAGATGAGATACTAGAGCAAACCGGTTTCTAAGACATGCCACACCACTACGAAGGGACATTTCAGATATTTTTATTTAATAGTGACAAAGATGAAGGATGTTTTTATATTGTACATTTGAGTAGAGGGGGCAAAGGCAAGTTAGACAACCTGTAATGCCTGTGACATGCCCACAGGATAGATTGTCTTGCACCTCTTGAATTCAAGAATGATTCAGGGCTATTCATATTTAAAATGATCTTAGTCTAGGACCTAACTTATTTCATGAGAAGGCAACTATTTTCAGATGTTTTAAAATGCACTGGATTTTCAAGAAATGTTACCAGTGTGCAGTTTTGTATTTTACCTGATTTCAGTCTTCACCAAACCTTGTTCATCTGTTCAAAAATTCACATTGTCAATAGTAATGTTGCTCGTGATGTTTAAGTCATATTTGTATCAATCTGCATTCGTATTTATCGCACTGGTGGATATCATTTCATTATAAATGACATTTATGTATAGTTAAGGTATTATACTGAGCTATTATCACTGAGTTATCAGCATGATACGCAGCACTACAAGCATTTATTATTTATTTATTTATTTATTTTGTTGTTTTTTTCTGGTACCGGGAATTGAACTCACGACCTTGCTCTTGCCAGACAGGCACTGCGCCACTGAGCTAAATCCCCAGCCTCATATAAGCATTTATTTAAATAAAAACATTGAGGGCTTATAGGATTGAAAATAATTATTCAGAAGAAAGGCTCATTAGGAGTATTGAATTGTAAAATGATGTCACGAAGAACAAGGACTTGGTAGATCACCACAACAAGTTTTGTGGATTTGAAATTAGTCAAACTTTTAGGGAATGGATAGCTATGCAGTGAGAAATACAGGCAGAGGGTGTACAGTAGAAGCACTTGAATAGATGGACAGTACAGAATTTCAATACAGAATTTCAACTGAATTGTTAGAGTCTGCACCAATCAGGTGAACAGTGATCAAGGTGCATAAATTGTGCCTCCTTGAAGTGGAGGCAAAACGAAGGTATTCGTGAAGAGTTTGTCATTTTCCAAGAACAGAGAAAGAAAGCTAGAGAAAAATGCTCGGCCATCATGAGAACAAGACTTGTCTTGAGTTAAAAGGATAGGAGCATCTGAGGTAGTCAGTAGGGCAGGCTGTCTGTACAGACAGAGGACATGGCCAACTGCTATTCAAGGGCTAACATCCCCAAAATACATTAGTTCTTTTCAACTGTGCATGATATCTACAACTATGAATGTGTTCCTCTGGCATGGGATTCTTTCTCCCATTAAGAAAGAAAAATAACAAATTCAATCTTTCCAAGATTTTTTTTTCAGTTTCTTGTTGGTTATTATTTTTCCTCTGAATTCAGATTTTGGTTGAGGAAAGCAGTGGTGATATAAGGGCTCTTAGAGTGTATGAGATGCAATGGGGGAAATCACAATCTCCACAGCCAGCCCTTCCTTGAGCCTACCATTCTGTGTGAGAATGCTGGCAAAGAGTAGCCCCGCCTGCACTGAACAAGGTCCTAAGGGAGTACAAAGAGAGGATCCGGAGGGTATGACTGAGGTGAAAATGAGAAACTATACGTCACTTGATGTCAATGTCCTCAGTAAGGTATAGGATGAGATCATTTACCAGTGGCATTGAAGGCCTGGAAAGAGAGGTCTTAGGACAGCTCCCAGGAGCCTCCAAAGGAGTTGACTGGCACAGTAAACAAGCAGATGTGACTTTTGGGTTGTAATAGATGCCCTGGCATTATAGATGGCATGGGCCACATTGTTCTCCATCTTCCTTCAAGTTCCTTCTAAAACTGGAAATAAAATCAGGTTAGCAGGTGTGAGAAGTGTGGGGAGCAAAGCCAGAGTGTGGCAAGGCTCAAGAGTCAGTGGTGACAGTCAGGATGGAAGTAAGAAAGGCTGATGGAACTGTCAAGAAAAAGCACTGGGGCCGGGACCGAAAAGACAGATCACTGTCTCATGTCTACAGCTAATAACCTATCTGACCTTCGACAAGCTGCCAGTAAGATATCTTCTAGAAATAAAGTTTTATTGCTGATTTGACCATAAAGTCTGGCTGGGGAAGGAAACCTAGTTAGAAAGGCACTGATAATTCAGTTGAAACAGATACAGATAAGGGCCTGAAAATTTCAGGAGGGAAAGATGGGGAACTCACTTAGCAAGAAGGAAGAGGAGAGATGGAGATGCCAAGTATTTTCTTCCTGAAAAGTCTCTCTTTCGTCCTTTTGCCAGCAAGCTTCCAGCACGTTGTAGGATGCTTCTGAGTAATCATTTGGGACCTGGGATGTAGTTCAGGGGTAAAGAACTTGCTGAGCACACCCAAGGCCTGGGCTCACTTTTTAAAAAGAAGAAGAAAAATAGCTTGAGAGTTTAAATTCCCATTCTGCCTCTTACAAACTGTGTGTCTCTGGGGTTCTGTTTTCTTGCCTCAAAAATAGGGATAATAAAACAACTATATACATACACTGTTCCTTGATGCAATACATATAAGATTCCTAAAAGCAGTACTCCAAACCCTCCCTATTCTGTTTCAAAAAAAATTAGATCAACTTTCTTTATTGCTGGAGCGCTTCTTGTTTGTGTTTTCACATTTAGTCATTTAATAAAAGGCCTCATCCCTTTCCTTCCCAACAGGACCTGAGCATGTGTTTGTCTGTCTGTCCATCTCCTTAATGAGACGAGGAGCTGCTGGAGAGCAGAAAGAGTATGCTGTCGATTCCTTGCATATTCCATTGAGCTGCTACAGTGTACAGCACCCAGCAAATACTTGTTAAACAAATGATGTTATAAGCCCGAGTCGCAGAAGTTCCCTGTGCTCCATATCAATTACCCAGTTTAGGAAGAGGCAGGTGTAGAATAATTTAGCTCGGGTTTATGTGTTTTTGTTTGTTTCCAGTCAGTCTGTGACTATACATAGACTCAATCATAATGAAGCTGATGAAGGAGGGATGACATTTTGGAAGCAGAAAAGAAATTTCGGATATTACAGGCCAGCATTTGTCACCTCCCTGGCTGATAACAGCACCCGTTAGTTCCCTTTGGCTAAATTTGGATCAAATGCTGGCTGAGTGCACTAAGCAAGCCAGAACTGCATTGTACCTCTATTTTGTGACATACGAGCTCCCTGCTTTAATCTCCCCTCTACTGTATAAAAGAGGATCTGAGGCTGTTAGACTTCAATCCGGTGATTCATGCAGCTGGTACACAATAGATTCCACCTCTCTCTCCCTGCCGCACAATATCCAGCTAAACAAAATGTCTTAGAAAGCTTCAGTACATGTAGTTAGGCTGTCACAGATCCCTCCTCCACCCCCACCCCACGCACTCCTTTTTTTCTTCTGCTGAGCAAAAGAGTCCGAATGCCCAGCACCTGCCTTTTTACTGACATCTCTACAAAGGTACAAGGAATGAACCTTCTGTCAATTTCAACCAAACGATCTGTTTTGAAACAATGAGATGAAAAGCCTGGGCCTCTCTCCTTGCTACTGGATTACAGTGCAGAGGATTAAAATAAAAGACACTTGATTTTATTGATTTAATGAGGGATGGAGGCTTTCGCAGGCGCGTCATCCCTGGTGGCAAAGGCACAAGTCCTGTTGGCAGGTACCTCCGCGAAGGCACTTCTTTTCCATTTGTTTGCTTTTTCAGTGGGGCTTGTTTATGGGCTTGGCTGTTAGGATGACCCACAGTGTTCCTTCCTCTGCTGCATGAAGCAGTCAAATGTCTGCAGTGATTTCGGTGTGTGTCTCAAGACGGGAAAAGTGAGCCAGGCGCGGGGCGGGAAGCTGCTCAGCACCGCAGGATGAAGAGCTGCGGGGAGAGGTGACAGAGAAAAGCACAGGTTAAATAAAGAAGGAGAGCCAAATAGAGCAGACCGGAAAAGCAAGAGATTGTCTGCAGAACCTAGGATTTCTCAGCAGCATCTATTCCAGCCAGGGTTCTAGAGCCCTTTTCCTGTACTCCATTGTGTCCCCTCCTTGTCCACTGCCCAAGTGTGAACGGAGAAGAAAGTGACTGAGGGGCTGCAGGACCGGTCCCGGCACAGCTCCATAATCTTTTTGCTTTTGTTCTCTTCTTCTTTGGGAGTTCTCATGATATTACTATTGACATTTTCATATGGTAATTGCTTGCATTATCTGTTTCTTCTTGTTTTATTTGCCCTATTTTTATACACTCTGATTCACCGCCCACTGAGCCATGCGAGAGGGACATTGCCAGTCACCTGCGGACCAAATTTAAGCAGTGATCTCCTTTTCATACTGAAGTGGACTGCGTGTTTCATAGACGTGTCCGGCCAGCATTCCTGTTAATACGAGCACGTCTCTATATACTCTGTACGTCTATTGAAATGTATGTATGCGGTCCACCCATAGATTGAACACCCCCAGTTCCCTCTGGTGTTACTGTCTCCGTGATTGCTAGCTTAAAGAGAAACAGTTCCTGAGAGCATATGGTTTCCAAAACACAGCCCTCCAGCTCCCTTTCAGTTTACACAAAATGAACGGCCACCCCTCCCCCACAGCCTCTCAGCCTAAGCAAGCCTGAAACCAGGGGGCAAAATCATTAGTTCCCAATTACCTCAAACCACGCAAGATAACCTCTCTCAAGGGCTGTTGGTAAAATATGCACACGGTTCCACTGTCTAGACAGTTATGAAATATAGGTGTAGGGATCGGCTGCTGCGGAACACACAATGCATGTGAAATGAAGTGCTTTTATTAAAGAAGTATAATCACCAGGATAACTAATTACGTCAATACCACATAGTTAATTAAACCCATTATCGTTACTATTCCCATGGAGAGGAGGTCAAATAAAGCGACCATCTTCTTTATGCTACTACGCTAACAAAAGAAGGAGAAATTAAGTAAAACACAAAACAGACCTCTTCATTTTGTGCCTTTTAAAACATTGAATAAGTGCCCAGTAAGTCATCCAAGGTCTTCAACTGTAATTCCTACCCAGAGATGGCTAGGTTGTTCCAAAGACCACCAAGGAACTTTCCTGAACTTACCTTACTTAGGCGAAGAGATCGCTAACTCTTTATTTGACTGGTGCAAGAAGCAATGACAAGGAAAAGCAGAAGACAGAATGAACACCCAGAGGCTTTTCGCTGATATCTTGAAGAGGAACATGATGGAGGGCAGGGTTTAGATTTCAGCTCACTCTGGCTTTGTGACCAATGTTAAAAATGTGGCCCCACGTAGCCCCTAGACCTTAGCAAGGATTTGAGAATGACCCATGAAGGACAGTTGTTAAAGCTGATTTACCAGCACACAGAATACGCACCCAGAAGTTCCAATAACAACCAAGCCTTCGCCCATTGACACTAAGAACAGGATGGTTCAGCAGTGAGCATGGAAGCAGAGAGAATTCAAGAAATCTATTGTGACATTGTCTTCTGGAAGAATTTAGACAAAAACATAACTCACATATGCCTATGCCTGTGTACATACCCACATACACACACACACACACACACACACACACACACACACACACCCCACAAAGATCTCTCAAGTACTAATCTCTAGAAAATGAAACCAATATATTTGGATTCTTCTTGTCCGAAAATTCCCCAGGTCATTATATCACTGTCACACCTTCTTCTCAAAGCAGTTCATTGTACAGAAGGAGGATTTGCATTTACTTCTCCTGATTAACAAAGAAAACTTTGTATAAAAGGGCAATGCACTGAGACGTGCAAATGTGGTCAGTCTGACCCCCTGCAGGAGAAGGCAGACAAGCAGTAGGGAGAAGAGGTAGAGGAGGACTGAGAAAGAATGCTTTGATCCCAGAGCTGCACACACAATGTAGCAGGTGGCACACTCCCAGCAAGCTCTGACCCTAGCGGGCTGAAGTTTGGCATGGAGTCAAAGAGTGGGAAGCAATATAATGAGTATAGTTTCATGCAATGGTGAACAGCAGAAGGCTGCAAGATTCCTCTTCTTGCTGGGCTTTGTTGTTATGGCTGTTGTGATTGTTGCTGCTGTTATACTACCATTGCTGGTATTTTCCAACTCAGAAAATTATAATATTGCTTCAACTGCAAGATAGACCTAATTGTTTTCATACACACTGAAAGCAAAAGACAGCATGGAAAATCACAAGGCCCCATGAAAAACAAAAGGTCAGGTGTTATATTCATCCAAGAGGTTTCAGCTGACACACGAAGCTCTTAGTTTAGACATAAAGCAATTTTTTAACCATCCACAACCCTCACCTCTACCGCCAAAGCTCCCCCTAAGACTTCTTTGTTCTCCTCTGGAGCCACCATGCTACCAGCCAAGCAGACAGAAGCAGGGAGGGGATGGCGGTAACGTTGTCTCCTTTTCTCCCTGTAGCAAATCAGTTGCCAAGGCCAGAAGACTCCTTGCCATCGGCCATTTCCCTCTGACACCCTTTGTGTCACAACCCTCATCACATCTATCTCTGTTCTCCCTGCTTCCAGTCACCCTCCTCTTTCACCCCTTGTTACACAGCCCCCAGATTAATCTCTGTGCGTATTATTCCCATCTGGGGACTGTTGCCCTCAGAAAAGCATGGAGTCCCCAGAACTGCTCGATAGAATAGTTTGCAAATTACTCACATGGGCATTAGACTGTCCCAGCTACATATGCAGATTTACCCCTCAGGGCTTCTTTCCCTGTGATTTGTTGGGAACCTCACATCCACAACTCCAGACCTTTGTTTCCTAAACGACTTCCTTATACCCCATCCCACCTCAGCCCTTCTGCAATTCAGTTCATAAGTCTTTCAGTGTTTACAGTGACGCCTCCACCTGAAAGCCTTTCTGAGATGCCTCAGCCACAGATGACCACTTGGTTTCCCAGAACATATTTGTAATATGTACTTTATGACCATTACCATCCTCTGCCCATCAGAATCATTTACTCAGAATTTAAATTCCATGAAACAAATTCAGAGGTTGTATCTTGCTGATGGCCATAAGAGCTTAATTAAATATCTGCCTGCTGGGATTGGATTAAAACATCATTTTATAAGATTTTGGAGACTTCTCCCCCATGGGGTAAATATCTATCTACTTGAAAAAGTATTCCCCTATTATAGTTCAAGAAAGCAAATGAGATAAATGCATTCAAGCACTGGCATTTCCACCATTGTATGATATAAGAAAATAAGCTCCAGTATATTGGTATGGTTTTAATAAGGGTAGTGTCTCCCAAAGGTGCCCAAGGCTGGTGCTAGGGGGAAGGGATAGGACATTTGAGTGTGTAGTGGGAGGCATGCCCTCACTCCAGAGGTGTACCCCACTTAGTCCTGTCCTCTGTCTGTTTCCTGGCTTAGGATATAAGTATTTTTTGCACTATGTGTTGCTTTACAAGAGATTCAAGGCAAATTGGTCTGCCTAATCTTAGACTGAAATCTCTAGAACCCATGAGCCAACATAAGCCTTCTTTCTTTATAAGTTAACTGCCGTAAGCATTGTGTTGTAGTAACAGAAAGCTTAGCAATACTGTTGTTATAGTTAATCTATATGAGAAGCAAGGTGGGCACAACAATCCATAATTATCCACAAAGCGTTTTGACCCAATGGGACATTTTGTAATTTTGTTTAAAATTTGTGTTGAAAAATTAATGTTATTGTAAAGTCACTTTATACATTGATGTCAAGGAAGCAAAACTGCTGGGTAACTACAAAATTTTTACGTTTACCATAGTCAACTGCCCTAATCCATGCCTTTGCAATTTTAATACTTAAGTAGATTTGAAAATCTGAAATTATCTTAACTTTCAAAAACTAAGACAATTGATTGGATATATTAATGATAATAAGGACAGAATAATAGAGAGGAAATGTAAGTGTTTAGGACTTGTGAGATCTGTTTTGGTTCTACCTACCTATAAAGTAAATGCATTAATGAGTGAAGAATTACCATACACACTCACATAGGCATACACACACATACACACACAGAGTCACACTGCTGGACTTTACAAAATTTAAAAAAGAATAGCTTTAAAATTATTAATGTAAACCAGGTGTGGTGGTGCATACCTATAATCCCAGCACTCCAGAGGCTGAGGCAGGAGGATCATTGTGAGATCGAGACCACCCTGGGCTACAAAGTGAGCTCAAGGCCAGCCTGCACTGCATAGCAAGACCCTGTCTCAAAAAAAAGACAAAAAAAATTAAAATTATTAATGTAAACAAGTTGACAAGACTTAAACACTTATTCACAATTTTAAACCGTATAGTGCTAGAATTTCATTTGATTTTGGTGGACAATAAAATATTCTGCTTATTCAATAAGATTAATTAAAAAAGAAACAAAATAAAATTACAAATAAAGAACTGCAATACAAACTTGAAACAATACAAAACAAACCACAGTACAAAATGTAGTGTAAATTCAGGACAATAGCCAGGTCACTACTACCACATTTATATAACTATAGAAGCACACGGAATAACAAAATAAACCAAGAATTAACATTTTGAGTGGACATATAATTATAATAACACAAATGCTAGGAATTTCAAAGCAGTGTGAGAAACCATTGGCTTTTTGAGATTTTAGTGCTTGTGGAATGTCTTTGGCTTACCAGTTGAGAAAAACAGTTTAGGAACTGAAAATAATTGTATTGTTTAAAAATGGATTTTTCTGGGTATTGAATAAATTAAGTATAAGCTACTGACCTACCATAAACCCTGAGCCAAGAAACTTAGAGATTTGACTGTTTCAGACCAGAATTAGCCCTGGATAGTTCATCGTTTGCAATGAATTCTTCTCAGTGAATATGGAGTAGATATAAACTATCTTTGCCCAAGTAAATCAACCAGAAGGAAAGGAAAATGTACAATCATGCTCTGGACTGAAGGTAAGGAAACAGGACTAAAGGAAGAAAGAAAAGAAAAAGGGAAGGAGGGAAGCAAGCTCAGGAGGGAGGAGAGGAGAAAAATTAACTATAAAATCTGGAAGAAACAAAAAACTTTGAAAAGCCTGGAGAACATAATTGATTCCCCTGACTTCTCTCATGATCACCACACACCTGTTTACTTCTCCTCCCAGTATGGGTTCCTGGCAACCCATTTTAATTACAGCTGCACTAGGAAGACGATACTACGCAGATGAGGCATTACCATAAATCTAAAAAATGGGAATCCTGAGCATAATGATAATGAAAAGTTTTCCCACAATTTCAACAAAGATGCCCAGTCTACACAGAAACATACCAATGATATTTCAATATACTTAAACTATCCATATCACATACATGTAAATAGCCCCCCTACTTAAGACCTCTTGGCTTAAAATCATCATCACCATCATCTTCACTACTGTACACAGTATCTTCCATTTTCTGTGAGATATGTGGTGTAAGAGGTTCTCCAAAAACCAGGCATGGTGTAATTCTACTTTTTTTTAGTTTTTTTGAGACAGGGCTAGCTATGCAGTTCAGGCTGACCTTGAGTTCACTTTGTAGCCCAGGCTGATCTCGAACATGTAAGGATCCTCCTGCCTCAGCCTCCCAAGTGCTGGGATTACAGGTGTATACCACCACACCTGGCTACATTTTTCATAACACCTCTATTCACATGACTTTTTACATAAATACCAAAGGACATATAATTCCCTGTGGCTGTTTACCAAAGAACAGAGATGGCATTTCCCAGCAAAGGATGCACAGTTCACCTCGGGGTGTCACAGTGTATGGAATGTCTCCTATCACCCTCCCCTAACCTAGGACAGCTGGCATTCCCTCCATCATAAAACCCTCACCTGTGGCTTCCTTCCCTACAGGACTGACCTCATTTTACTGGGTGCATTATTTACATATGTGCCTTCTTCACTAAACTGCAAATTCTGAAAGAGAAGTAGAAAACCTTAATAGTGTATCTGACACATATTAATAACAATAGTTAATAGATGCACCCAAGGTTCAGAAGAATTCTGCTGTAACAAAAACTGTACTGAGCTCTGATAAGAATTCCCTGCATTTGTTAACACTTCATGATTGCAAAGGCACTTCTATACACATTGTATATTATCGTTAGGTCTGCAAAGATATCTTTATCCTCAAATTCAAGTTGAGAAAAGTGTTAGTAGATTAGACAAACTAATTGGACAAGTTAACTGGTAGAATTTTAGAAAAATTAAACAACTGCCCTGATCCTCAGTTTATCTACCAGTACAATAAAAATATTTGATGTTAGTCTCTTTAAAATCCCTTTGCTTCTCTATCAAGGGGCCAAATGGAAAAATACAAGCAGCCAAAACTGCATGATTGCATTAATGAAGTACAGGAAGGTTCAAACTCAGATGGAGAACAGACATGATCTGTGGGAGTCATTTGTTGGCTCTTTGTGCAAATCCTACAGAGGCCAAAGACAAGAAAGAAAGGCTTTTGGAATTCGAAGAGGATAGAGGAGCCACAAAGGATCAAAAATTTAAAAGGAAAGGTTTGAGAATGAATGAGCTTGATTTATAGCTATCTAGAAATCTTTTCACCCAATAAACACAGAAAATTTTTTCTAGCACACATAGAATATTATAAAATAATTTATTTTATGATGAGCTGCAAAACACAAGGGGTAACCAAAATATACAGTGAATATTTAAAGATTTATTATAATAAAAGACACATTACTATTAATAACTGTCAAAATAGTCCACTTTTTCTTTAATGCACTTATTCCCTCATTCCTGCCCCTCTCTGCAGCACTTTTGGGAAGTCTTTTGTGTCTTCTTTACAAGGTATTATCCAAAATATGATGAATGCTGTTGTCATATGCCATCCAGAGGAACGTAGTCCTGGAAAAACAATATGATGTGTCCTCTTCCAGCTCATTCATGGATCTGGTACTATGAGACTTCTGGATCTTTCCCAAAGTCAAAATGACCATGAAAGGTAAGTATTTTAGATCTATTTAGGACATGAAAAGAACAATGACAGAACAACTAAAAGCACTCACAAAAGAAGACTTCCAGAACTGCTTCAGAAAGCATCAAGCATGATGGGATATACACGTTTGAAGCAGTATGGAGGGGTGATCTTGAAGGGGATTCATGGCAGTATGTTTCTTACTGTCACATATGTTTTAAAATTTAAACACACCCTTTTTTAATCACACCTTAAAATGCCAGTAAATTCCAAAGAATCAGCATTATATAAATTTTTAAAATTTTAGCACAATGCAATAAAATTGGGAATCAATCATAAGTGATATTTTTGAAAATTTTACTCTTCCACATTACTGGAAACTGAAACTTACCACAAAAATTTTGAGGGTGGGCCCCGTTCAGAGAAAGGCAAGAAAACTGTTAAATATTAATAGTTAAATAGCAATGAAAGTTTACGAATCATATTCTGGAACTTAAGTAGTAGCAAGAGGACATTTTAAATACATCTATCGGAAAGCAAAAAGGATGTAAAGAGACATGTTAAATAATAACTCAAAGTACCGGTAAAGCAGTGAGCAAGTAAAACAAAAAAATAATGGAAACAATGAAAGTTAAAATCAGGTATTTTCAGTGAAAACCAGTGGCCTGGGTATGAGCCTTTTAATCCACCCGTCAAGACAAATCCATAAACCAATGGTGAGAGGATCTTTTAAAGTATATAATGATAAAAACAAAGGGAACAGAGAGTGGGAGAACAGCCGTAAAACTTCAGAAGATGAAAAGCAAAAGAATGAGTATTAAATGACTTCAAGAAGTAAAAGGAGAAACTAAACTGCCTAACAAGAAGCACAGAAAACTGAGAAATGATCCTATTTGTTTGTCAAAATCTTCCTAAAGTTCAGATATTTTCAGCACCACACACCTCTGAAAGTGGGGATAAAGGGAAACCAAGTATAAAGCAGGGAGGCCTGGCTAAGGCCTGTTCATGAGCCATCCCTACACATACCCACCTCCACTCTGGACCAGCACTGTAGCCCAATAGAAGATCTGCAAAATACTTTATTCTCCAGGGAGAAAAAGAGTGACTCCATAAATTGGAGGACACCACACCTATTACAAAAATGACGCAAAACGCAAAAAAAGATGGTATCCTGTAGATAGGGAGATTAAATGAAAGTTCACGGGTTGAATTTGTGAATTTTAGATCACATTGCTCTTTCTTACTCCACTGGCAGCGTGCTAACAGCCAGCCTTATAACCTCAAGGACAGCAATTCAGAGATTACTCTCTGGGAGCACTGAAGCCAAAGGGGTGGGGTCTAAGAGAACAGCATGACAGACTTCTGAGAAGCCTGCCCAGTTCTGCGTACCATGAAGCCCACAGGTGACCAGCGCCATCCATGAGCACATAGCTCCCAGCCAGCTTTTCAAACCACCTAACTTAAACACGCCCAGATGTAGAGACAGGACAGGTGAGAAGCAATTGGAGGAACTGAGAATTTATATGAAGAAAAAAATAGAGAAAAGTATTAGTGTTTTCAGAGAAATAAGATGCTATACCCATGAGTCAAGAACAAAAATCTAATACAAAAGAACAGTTGAGAAACAAGATAAAACATTGGATATTAAAATTGTAATAGTCAACATAGAAAATGGTGCAATAGCATACATTGTTGAGATGATCTAAAGAACAACAGAGCAAAAAGACTGAAGGGTGAAGCATAAGAAAGAAATTTCAATTAAAGTTAGAGGATTAATTGCTAAACATTAACTGAAACCTATTTTTAAAAAACAGGAAGACCTATGAGTATATAAAATAATCACGCAGGGAGAAGCAAGAATACTCTATTGCATGACAGCTATGCAGCAATGAAAGTCAGTGGAAGAGAATGTTACCCAAGAACACCCTCAGGTTTATATGGACTTGGCATCTGATACAGGAAAAACCATTAATTTAGTCAAAATACATATGTAGTCATTAAACACTGTGTATGTTTCAGCTATGTACATACAGTTAATTACAAATCACGTGATATGGTCAGTATTCAATTTTTTTAGCTACATCAATGTCAGTTTCATATAGTTCAACCTGAGATTAAATAATTAATACTCTCCTAGGAAAATAGATGCAAAGACATGGGTTTTAAAGGAATAATAAAAAATAAAGGTTTTTTTCTTGATATACAATGATCCTT